AACAACAACAACAACAACAACAACAATAATAATAATTTATTAAATGTATATGGCACCAGACTCCCAGCGACTCTGAACTGAAGTCTGCACATCTTAAAGTTTCTGGGGTTGAGAAACGCTGATCTAAAGCATTGGAAAGACTTCCTGATTGCCACCCCAACTAACATGCAGGATGGTCCTGAGATACCAGCCTGAAGAACAGGCAGATATCTCTAGAGCCCTCCCCTTCCAGCAGCCAGGCCTCCTCAGGAGTCAGCCCCGTACCCCGAACGTGTGCCACAGCCTTCTGCCTTTCAGCCTGGCTTGGATGGGAGTCCACTGGTTTGGCCTTCCTGGCAGTGGCACGTTAGGTCTTCAGCATCCCCAAGGCGAGAGCGATGATTTCAGGCATGCTACGATAGAGCGAGTCCTGCTCCAGGCCCACCAGACCCGTGAAGGTGGCGCTCCTCTGCCCAACAGTGGCCTGGATGTGAGCTCGGTAGAGGCCCTTGGAGTTCTTGGAACCCAAGTCCACCAGGATCTGGGGGGAAAGGGGAGAAGAGAGAGGAGGAGACCAGTAGCCTGGGTTCACACAACCCATGGAAACCCTAAATGCAATTATGTGCACCGAACAGCTGATGCCCCAACAAATAAACTCTATGTTGGTTTAATGAGAAGGCCTGGAACCCAGACCATGGCTGGATTCCCACCACAAAGCTTAACCAAGGTTTTGCACTAACCAAGCTTAGTATGTTGTGCACAGGCTGTCCCTGAGTCTTTACTTGACCTGGTTAAGGCTACTGGGTGAAGAGAGCCAATCTCTGCCCACCCTTGGAAGACTGTCATCTCAGAAGGTCACCCAATGCTGGGCACCAGTGCCAACCCTCGACTCCCAGACAATCCTCACCGCATGGACCCAGGGTCTACACTGGAGCCCAGGCAGAGGGGCAAGCAGGGAAGAAAATGAGGCAGGGCTGGAGAATGTCTTGCTCCAAGTCCTCCCAAAGTGAGAGCCAATTCAGTTCCTAAGCCACAAGGTTCAGTGTGAAAATAATGAAATTTAAAGTCTTCTTTAATTGACTATGTATACTGGGCAACATTTTTAATTGGTTTGCTATAGCTATCACTTTTCTCTGGACTTCCTTCCTTCCTTCCTTCCTTCCTTCCTTCCTTCCTTCCTTCCTTCCTTCCT